AACTTTGAACCGAGAAAAATGTGAAAATTCGCACGAAAGATGGATATTTACGTGTGCAAATGTATTCGAGTGATATTTCGCGTGGTGGTATGCTAATCATTTTAGAAAGAAACGGTGGTATGCGTACACACACGCGCGTACTGTTTTATACATACCGATACAATCGCACGCAATATACGATACGATTGTGAATGAAATCTAGTCACAGAGGGGGGAGGGGGGAGGAAGGAAGCGGGAGAGGGAGGGAGGGAGGGGGGAAGAAATTAACCGGTAAACTTTTCTCTGCGGAGCGAATGCTTAATAGTTCACTTCTGAAGCGTTCAAACAATGAACAAAGCGGTGAATTAAAATTGGAGGCACCCCATAAGTGGGCTCATGAAAGGGGAGAGAGATAATATGGGCCGCCGCCACGATGGTGTTAGAGCAACTGACGGGGTAACTACTTTGAAAAGAAAAGTTGAAAGCTCACGAGCACCGACGCCTTTTATTCTTCCCCGGTAGAAGTGGTTAAGGCGCTTCTCCTCGCCGGTTTCCTCGTGATATCAATATCATAGAAAGAAATGAAATTTCAAGTGCTCATATAATAAATCCTATCCTTTTTTTCTTTTGCCTTTTTTTTTTTTTTTTTTTCATTTTTATCTCAAAATGACCCGTAATTCATGAAAACGTTTCATTAATATAAGCTAGTATAACTCCGATAATAAAAAAAAAAAAATCTCTAAATCTTCACATTTCTTACAGAAATTCTTAAAAATAACTTCCCGATGATAAAAGGAAAAAAGGCTTAAGAATGTTTCAAAGATTATTATAATAGCATTCAAACATTTCTTTCAATGGGAGATAGCATCGTAATGGAAGCGAAGAAAATTAGCGAAATTAATCGATTCGGCGCAACTACGTCGGATAAAATTGGCCGAGTTCCTAGTCTATCTCGGAAGTTGCGGCAAGAGTAATCGGCCCCGCACCTTTTCGTAATTAAAAACGCGACAATCTTGTTTCGAGAAAGCTTGAAAACGATGAAGAAATTGAGGCAATACGCGCCTCTTGCTTTCCTTCCTCTCCCTCTTCTTTTTTTTTTTTCTCTTATTTTTCTTATTGTTGATTACTTACGGGAGCGGCTGGGTGTCTCGCCGGCGCGGGATACATCTTAATTGTGGCTAAATACTTCGCAAGAATCACACACGTCCGCAATGCCCTTTGTACACGGTCACTTCATGATCCATTCCCCGGCTCGATCTTTGCGGCAACATTCTCAGGATCTTGGAGGAACGCCAACAGTCTTCCCTCAGTGTTCAGCATCTAGATCTTCGCCGGCTGTAATTATAACACGACACGATTCGTTACTTTGACCGAAACCGAGGTGTTTCGTAAACTTCTTCACGAGAACTCGCGATTTCGCGTGACTACGCTTTTCTTAGAACTAATTTTCATTTTACGATCGGTTTTTATATTTACACTTTGTAACAAAGTGGTTTTTAACGATTACACTTTAAGTATACTTTAAGTATTTAGCGATTATTCAAGTAACCTAAATAAAAATAAAAATAAAGTGCGTTTGATAAATACGAGATTTTATAGATGTATATATATATATATCATTAAATATTAAACATAATTATTTGTTCAAAGTGTACGTGTACATTTTCTATTTTTCAATTTCTAAAAAAAAATCCGACCGATTTCATCACGTATTTTGAAATTATTTATACGATTGCGTCATGTGTGTACGCGGCTTTATGAATCCAACCGATCAATTTATCGTTCGATTTACGGGGCGCGTAAACCATGCTCCGTCACCGTCCCGAGAACATTTATCCTAATCTTCAAGGCGTGTTTCCAACGAAGGACGACAAAGACCGAAAAGAAAAGCAGAGGAAAAAAAAAAGCAACTGGCAACTGGCAAGGGAGAAAAAAAAAAAGGAGGTGAGATAAAAGAAACGTACGCTCAACGCCCCCTCGTTTAAACCAAACGCAAAGCTTGTGCACGAACGAAATGACACGTACAGAAACTGCGTATTTCGTATTTTTTGAAAATATTGTTTTCGGTAAACAATTTCTTTCCACGCGTTAAAATTTTTCTGCATCTAATACGTAATCACCGACGATTTAAATCATCGATTAAAAACGATAATGACCCGTGAAACGAAAACGTGTATGTATTACGATGGAATGAAATATCGATAATGGCGGACGATGAACAAATGATTCGTTATAATGTACTCGTGACGCATGAATTTAATTCGTCGATAGAGAAATTGTTTGGTGAAATTAAGATAAGAATAATCGACAAATTAAATCAATTAATAAAATTAAAATAATTTAAAAATTTTTTAAAAAATTGTTTGTACTTATCGATAATAATGTAAATGTTATTTTTATTAATGTTCCCTGTTATTTGAAAATCGTGGATATCGAAAATTCAACGCATATCTTGCGGTTTGCACGTGTAATTTACTTTTATATGATTCTCACATGCTATAACCGTCCATGCACTCGTAATTCGAGATGGATAATTTGATTTGTCGAATCAAATCGAACAGTGATTCTTCATGGTTTAAGATTTTTTTAAGAAACTCAATTTATTCGAATAATTCGGGATATTTTAACCTTTTTTTATTTAATCGAAATATTTTTACAATTTTTTTAAATAATTTCAAATTTTTAGAATATTTTTATTTATAAAAATTTTAATATTTCGACTAACCTTTTGAATTGAGAATTTCACGTATAATTCATAATACATAAAGAAGTCAAAAGTATCACGTGACTTTTCGTTAACGATACATTAGCAAAGTACGAAAAGTTTCATAGCCCTTTCCAAAACATGCTAACATTACATGCAAACAAGTATGTGAAAATAAGTATATATATACTCGAGTATCAATGGACAAGTATTAATGGCTTGCATTAGAGTAATTTGGATCTTCCCCTCAAGTAATTTTCACGTAATAAATCAGATACATAAAACGGAATCACATGTGCGAATTAAATAACAAACTACAATACTGTTTACGTCAGCTAAATGTACATGTAAATTTGGAATTGAAAGTGTCTGAATAATTTAAAACACCAGAGTAAAACGTTCAGAATAAAATGTAGTAGAGCAAAATTTTTGATCGAAATGAAGAATTTCGTTGTTGTTATCATTTCCACGTTGACATCAGGGTGATTTCACACATGTATACGTGTCATTACGGGCTCTTTGTAACGCCGGATGATGTTTCGTGTAACATGAAAATGGAGTCATGTAACTCCGTTAACAGACCATTCTCCACGGATAATATATTTCACGAGCGATGTATAATGGAGCGGGCATACGTGAAAAACGCGAAGCCAAATTTGAACAGTCATTTCCATCAATTTGCAATATACGAACATGACGAAACGATGAAAACTTTCAGCGGTTTAACTTTTATCACCTTTTTTTCTATCACCGATGTAGTAATATATAAATCGAAATACATAATCTAAAATTTTTCGATAAAATTCTTTTTAACAAATAAACTATAGAATCTATAGAAATGATCGATGTTTTGAATATCTTCAACGTTTTATCACTGAACGAACAAAGAAGTTATACGTATGAACGGAACGAAACGGTTGGATTGTGTGCTCAGATGAAATTTCGTGAAAAGGAAAATAAACAAGCATCGCACGACAGCTGTTCAAAGACACCTACCTATAACGTTCGAGCGAAAGAAGGGAACGTATACCGGATGTAGCGTTGCACAGGCAAGTCACGAAGGAAGTTATCACGAATCTTGTTTAATCGCCGTTAAGATCCTTAATCACGCGATCACCGTGATTTCTTTTCCCTGCGATCGTTATCGCGACATGGTCAAATACCGCGACGTAGACTACGTGCTGCGCTCTACAATTTAAAAGATTTCCCACAAAGTAGCTTACAAAATTATAGTTTATCTAAATTATAATTTATCGACGAGAACCAAATAATGTATATAATTTATGAGCATCGATATATAAGTATATACAGGCGCGTGTCATCGATAAATAGTTTATACTTTAATCGCTAATAACAATCGAGCAAAAAATTATAATAAGAGGACAACGATATAGATAACGATAAATGATACTAATTCATAAGCGCTATATATGTTTATAAAATTGTTAATGTAAAAATTATGAAAACTATCATATATATATTATATATATATGATATATTAGCAATGTTAATATAATGACAAATAAATGATATCGTTTCCTCGTTTTCCTTTCTCATGTTTGCAGTTGACCATATACCTACTATATTTATTGGCCATCATAGAAATTACAAGAAAATGCCAATGGTATGAGAGAAAAAAATACATAGTAAAGGTTCTAAGAAGCCGACCGACGAAGAAAGTAGCGGGTAAAACGTGTCGATTGTCTGAATGATTTAATGAGCCATGTACGTTGATTCGCGATTACCCCCAGCTTGTAGCTAACTCCCATTCCCGCTACCGTCGTGTCTCTTTCCAGTAATTTACTTCGCAGCTGTGTCGCATCGAAGGTGCTGCCAGTGGCACCGCTTATTAAACTGAGAAAGAACGAAACTCGTCATTGGCTTCTTTCAAACTAGCCTAATAATGCCGGTTAAACGCGTGCCGCAACATTCTGCCGCTTGAAAGATCGTCTTATCGTTTAAAACATCAGACCAATTAAAGTCAGGCGGATTACAAAACGACATGTACCTGCAACTACGTCGTTCTCAAACACGTAATTTCCGACATAACGTGAAATATTATTAAAATCTGCTAACATTTCTATAATTACCGCCCATTTGAGCTGGCAACGAAGCAAAACAACAGAAAGCAATTATCAAGGTTAATGTTACACGATACGGTGTTATTGGCAAATCGCGTACATGATTAGATATTTCCACCATGTGACGATATATATTAAAAATCTAAATAATCTAAATTAATATCACAATTTTCGAAAATAGAAAGATTAACACGTTTTGTTAGATAATATATAAAATGTCACCCTTTTTTATATGGAATACCATGCGTCGTTAAACAAATATTCAGCTACTTCTCGATTATCACGATTTCAAATAATTTGGTATATATACACGAGAACAAAATCAATGATAAGACGTTTGTGTTTACATAAAAATCTATCGCGAACATGTTAAATGACGCAGCAAACAATAATTTCTCCCATTGGCAACAAACGAACTGAGAACGGTCAATAGAAAAAGCTGTCAGTAAATAATACCTTTGGTCTGTGGTTCGTTTTCTTCGCGTTTTGTTTCCTCAGGAGATACGTCTTTAATCCACCTTGGCACTATGCGAAAAATATAACCGACACACACCGATTTTTTCTCGCACTATCACAAACACTTCATGTATATATATATGTATAGTCTAAAGAAAAAAAGAAAACGCGTGCACAGTGTCACACATATATACGTATATCGAACGTATAAAGCGTCGAGACGAAACGCGAACGTCACAACCGCACCGTACAACGAACGACGCTCGACTGCGAGCCGGGTACCGAAGTGGATGACGGGAAACGTGTGAACGCCGCTTGCCGCCGCGGCGAACACCAATGAGCGGCTACTAACACTATCCACCACGGCAACGACACTGACACACCAATAAGGGGACACAAATGTACACAGAGAACGGAATGTGCATCTCTTTTCTTTTCATCTCTGTCCTTTTTCGACTCGTTTCTCAGTTCGTCGAGTCAAGGGCGTCGACCGACAGGGGCGATTCGTTGTTTCCTTATATCGAAGAAACCAATAATGGCTAATTTCATAATGATTATGAAATTACAAGTTTTCTCCTCGTTCAAAGATACGTCAATATCGATCGAACAATTCGCATTCTATGTTAAAACGGTCCACGAAAGATCTCACCCGATACGGCTTCTTATCGGAAATTTTAATAGCTATTTAACTTACTAACACTACGCCACCGATGTCTTACACTCTCCGCAACTTTTTAACGAACTTTTGTCACGGAGTTCTTTCTTACGCGCATAAAGGAAAACAATATTTTAACTTATATTCGACATTAAAAGAAAACTAATTTAATCTTACATAATTTCTCTATTAATTTTTACTTACTAACCACATGTTCACGCATATTTAAAGATATATACCTTAAATATACAACGTTCTAATAGCGTTCTAAATCATTTAAAATTTATTTTATTAAAACATCGTTTTCTTTTGTTACATTTGTTTCCTTTGTCACGATTATTCGAGATATAATTTCTCACTTTAAAAAAATCTTTATCGACACCTCTGCTTTTAGGTGTCTCGCTCGCACTCAATAGTAGTATCCTCTCAGTTGCTATCCTCTTTGCACGTATACAGAAGATGAGACATATCATTTGATCTCTGTCGCACTTCAGTTTCTTGATCTTCTACCTCTTCTCGTCGTTTGTCTCACTTATTCGTTCTATCTTCAAACTTTCCGCCTCTGTCTTACAGGTGCACCGCATCATCGCTATCGTTGTTTCGCTCGCACCTATCTTTTGTCATACATATGTCCCTTGTGCTCCATCTCTATTCATCTTCTTCATTCTCTCGTTTTCGTCTCATCTCTCTTTTAACCGTATATATCGCGATCGTTGCATCTGCGTTTTCCCAACTCCTGTAGAACAACAGAGACTGCCTCTCTGCGCCTGTCCTGCTTGCACTTAACTGAAACGAGGCGTAGAAGGAGGAGTACCGGAACCAAGTGCCGAACGTTGCTTGTGTGTCGCATGTACGGAGTGTCGGCAGCGCGCATAGGACAAAGACAGAGTGAGTCAAAGTGCTAGAGCCGGACAACACGAGTCAACCGGCAATGTAAGGAGAGACCTTTAGGTGGGTGCAAGCGATGCAATGGTGAAGGTGATATTCCAAGCGTGGTGAGTGCGTGTGTGTGTGCTCATCATATTACACACTGCTCATACATCGTGTCTGCTGCGCTTTGAGGGCGCGAGGAGATGAATCCTCGATTCGGTTAAACGCCCGCCAACTGGGGATGTTCTAAATCAGGCTGTCTAC